AAAATGTATTTTAAAAAATACAAACATGCCACTATGAATTAGTTCACAGAGAAAATTCAACAGATGTCGAGTTTATATGATGATGTAGTAATAAGAGACTAGACACATAAAGAGATGTCACATATTATGAGAACACACAAACATTATTCTGTTTATCTAGAAAAAAAAAAAAAAAAGAACCTTCTCTTTCACTACAAAATGTGCTTCAACCTAGAGGGACAAAAAAGCAAAATGAGAAAAATATTTATCTTGGCAGCACTATTAGAAAATTATGTTCCTGGAGATGTTCACATTTCCTGTCAGTATTACAAAGGAAAGAAGGTGACATTTTGCCAAAATCCAAAAAGGCTTTCAAAGGTTTTCTTTATTGTAAATTCAGGTAAAGAGGTCTGTACAGAACAGTACTGTCCAGTAGAAATATAATGCAAGATATTTATGTAATTTTAAATTTTCTAGTGGCACATTAACAAAAAGGAAAAATAAATTTTAGTATTTAATTTAACCCAATATATCTAAAACACTATTTCAATATGTAACCAATATAAAAATTATCAATAAGATATTTTACATTCTTTCTTTTACATTAAGTCTTAAAAATCTGGAATATATTTACATTCACATCACAAAGTCAACTAGGCACAATTCAAGTGCTCAATAGCTATATATGGTTTGTTGATACCACACTGGATAGTACTGTTCTCAACTATAGAGTGTTTGTTTCTATAACATTAGTATGATAGATTCTTGTGCTAGAGCTTTTTTAGTGGAAGGTTTCATTACAATAAATTTTATTATTATAGGGCCAAAAATGATGTATCTTACAACAGTGTTGAGTGCTATTTTACAAAAATGTCTAAATCTTTTTCCTATTCATTATAAGCAACACCAAGCTTTCAGTTAACATGTTTTCAAATACCAGGGTCCTCATTCTGTCAAATATGTTATCCCCTCAGTTAGTAGGGTCCCAGAAGATAAGACTACATTCTAGTTTCTTGTTCTTCTACCCGCCAATTGGCTTACACATGGAAACATGCTGCCACCACAATATGGGTCATATTCAGCATGATGCTCATCTGCCTCATTCAGATTAATGATTATTTAATTGGGTATGGGTTCAATACAATCTCCTATTACTTAAGGAAATAATTTTTTAACATTTACTTAAGTGTAACATCATTTTGGCCTATTGCTATAGGCCCATTATGTGGTGACATACTAAGGAGATATGCATATATAAACATACAGTCTATATAAAGGTTTCTTGTTAGTGAAATTCTGTAGCAGAAAACTAAATTATAACATTAATGATATTAATTTATTACAAAATAACTGGAATTAGTGAGCTTTAAAATAGCTTCAAAGAAGAAATCCTCCTATAGCACAGAAAAGTTCTTAAAGTAAAACTCTTGGTTGATATGCTGACAAAGTAAAAATTGGCACACAGAAAAAAATATATATGTATTTAACTTTATTTTCTCCAAATAGAATAAAGATTCACACGCTTAGCGTAATTTCTGGAAATGGCCTCAGAAGACTTTTCTACTCTAAATGTGGTCTCTCTTCACTTTAATGATTAAATAACTGTTGATCAATTAAAGGTTAAATATAAAGAAACTTTAAAATTTAATAATTAAAATACAACTCAATAGGAAGAAAGGCAAAAGATATGAAGAGGGATTGCCAAGAAGAAATAAGAAATCCCATAATAAAACATGTTCAACTTACTAATAATCAAAAATTTACAGAATGAAACCACAATGAAGTAATATTTTATACTTCCCAGCTTGGCAAAAATGCAACTATCACGATCTCAAACATTGGCAAAGATCTAGAGCCCTGGAAATTCTAGTATACCAGTAGGGAGCATAAATTAGTACTTTGGAAAACAATTTGGCCTTATCCATTAAAGCTGATCATGTGCTTTTATTATACAAAACAGCAATTCTATTCAAGGTATACATCCATTCTTGAGGATGTACAGCAGAAGTCACATAAAAGAATGTTCATAGCAACATTGCTTTTTTCTGTTTCAAACAAAGATGCAGTTCAATAAGCACCAGCTGGAGAAGGGAATATTTGTGATATACTCATAATGGAATAATATTTAGTGGTGAAAAAACTCCCATGGCAATAAATATAAAAAGGAGGTGACAGAAAAATACATTCACTTTGATTCCATTTATTATGCATTAAGGATACATACATGGAGATAAAGTGATGAAGGACAAGAAGTCTATGATCAACACAAAGTTCAGTATACGGGCTCCCTCTATCAGACAGGGATAGAAATAGGTTCAGGAAAGAGTACATGCTACCTCAAAGGAAAGGCAATAGGTGGGTGGTAGGCACACAGGGGTTTGTTTATTATTATTATTACTCTTTATACTTTAGCATATATGTTATATGTGTATATACATATCTATATTCCATTGCATGTATGAAATTTCTTAAAAATTCAAACACCTTATAACAAAAAAAAATTACATATAATGTTTCAAATAGTGAATCACAGCCTGGAGGCTATAACTTCCACTCTATCATTGAGCCCTGGCTAAAACTACTGCTTTGTTTCTGTTCCTCTCATACTTGAGAATAGAGATATTGTCCTGCTCCGACAATACTTACCACATTTTAGGGGCTTGATCCATGCTGACAGAAAGGATGAACAAACTAACCTGGCTTGTATTTCTAGAAGAGCTAGGAAAACCCTGAAGATCTGAGTCACAAGTAGGCAGTAATCATTTTGCTTTTTTGATTTCATGGTTTCACACGTTTCTGCAAACCTACAGCCTGTTCCCTCTCATCTCTTCCTCCATCCTCCTCCTGTCTTGGTGCTTAAGGCTTGAAATTGTTCAGTGATAAGATCAACCTCAGTCAACGCCTTCAGAAATGTTTTCTTCTGCTTTCTGACATGGCTGCTTCAAAGGTAATAGGAGTCGCGGTCACTTTGCCCTTGTTTTCTGCACCCAATTCAGAGAAAATAGCCACCACCAGCCTGTGGTTTCGGTATACTCAGGAGACCACACAGTTATCCACTCGAACCACCCCATCCAACCCAGGGCTGAGTAATTTAACTCCATCCTTGGTCCTCATCACTATCTGAGATGAATCTGTGGTGTCCTCCCAGCACCCTCATGCAGGACCTCATGCCTGGCTCCTGGAATGATCACATGATCTGTTTATATTTTCACAATTTAATGTGTAGCTTTCATGCATGAGGTTCACAGGTGAGAATAAAATCACAGTCTCCCAACTAAACAGAACTAAAATTAAGAAAGGTTTTAAAAATGGTAGGGAACAAATACTCCATTTTCAGAATATGTGTTTTCTGGAATTTATTCTCCTTTATGCTGAATATAAAAACTGAGATTTCACCAATGCCTTAAGAGACAAACACATACCAATTGAAATCTGAAAACAATAATTATATGCAACAAAGTGGAACCTGACACTTAACAAAAGCTGTTAAATAAAAAGTATCTCTTGAAAAAGCAAAACCCTATAGTAAAATCAAACAAAACAGAACGAAGCTTTGGTACTTTTCAATAACAGGAGACAAAAATAAGTTTATTATTAAATTCATGTAACATAAAAAAACCTATGTGGGAGTGTTGAATTAAATCTATAAAACAGAAACAAATCTAAAATATATTAGAGTCTGAGGGTGAAAAAAATCTTGCTTTTCTCTTCTTTGATTGTAATAAAATACCAGAATTTGGAAAAATAAGTATTTTCCCAACTAAATTTTCTTCTGGTCTTTATACACCTAGTAGGATGGCACTTGGTATTTTATCCAATTTTAAAATGGCATAATATGATTTTTAGCAGCACATTTCCTTTGTTCCAACAAGCCTACTACAGGAAATAAAAATTCTGTCTTGAAATGCCCTTGATATAAAATCTGTGCCTGCGATTCTCATCCACTTCTTTCCTAGGATTTTAAGACTGTGATTATCAAAATCTAAAGGCAGCTATTTAAAGAAAGGAACAAAAAAATCATTATTATATGTTTTGAATTCAACTGGTAAAAGAATACAGGTAAGAACACCATATTCTCTGAACTAAGTGGAGGTCTCAGAGGGTAACATCTTGGTACTTGGAGGAGCCTGGGTACCATGTAAATGCCACACACTGTGCTTCTACCTCACTCATAACAAGTACAGCACCACCCAAGCCTGGTCTCCTGTATTTCTCTGCTGATCAAAAAAAAAAAAAAAAAAAAAAAAATGGCGTAGGGAGATGATATACAACTGTGTTGATAATTTAGCATTATTACCTACTAGTCTTTTTTACTATAATCATAATAGGTGTACTGTGGTTAACTCAAAAATTATGAGACAAATCTGGGTAGCTTTCTTTGTCTAGCAAGTATATTATTGATCCATATTTTGACCCCAACAGTTAACTTGCAAAGCCTCAGCCTTAGCAAGTTGGTTCCTGGCAATCACTAGCAAGATTAGACTAAATGTTAGCTGAGTAATGAATTACAACATGACAATTTTTATAACAGCCTAAAAAGAAATTCTCAGTTTTATCAGAAGATTCATATATTCAAATACAATATCCAGTTTAAAAAAAAAAATTCCTGGATAGTCCCTGGGATTTGTCAAATGGAATTTGACCTGGATCTTACTTAATGACAACTAAACAATAATATCCATAATTTGACAATAGCTTTCCTTGAAGAGAAAATTGTGGATCATGTGTCTGTTCCAGTTAAGTAGAAATCTCTCACACTTTCCTTCTGGACTCCAAATCTCAGGTTGGGATTTCAGCCTTAGCATTCAACAAGTTCATTTAGCAAGGCATAGGGTGGGGGGTGGGGGGCACATGTGACAGGGCTATAATTCTGCTTTTTCAATTTCTTATAAATTTTCTACTCATAATTACAATGAAAGGTCCAGAATCAGAATGCTAGGAATAAAATATTTTAGGCAGCCCTTTGAGAATTTATTCTATTCAAGGCTGTTCTTCTGTTTGGCAATTTAAAACTCTTTAGGTTTTTTTAAAAAAATTAAGCATCCCTGTTAAAGGAACAAGAATGCAGAAAAGTAGCCTCTGCTCTAATGAAGTAGACACGTTCAATGTTTATCAACATCCACTCCAATGGGAGTAGAGATTTTCCTTGACAAATACAATTCCGAGTTACTCTCTTTCTCAAATGTATTGCTCTGAAAACTTACTTTTGCTCATATATGAAATCAGAGCAAGTATCTCTATTAATCTGAAAAATCGTAGGCTGTACATTGGCCAGAAATATGAGCAAGCAAAGTTAGAGACAAATGAAAAGTAACATAAGGAAAAACTAAATTTTACTACAATATTGGTATATTTTAATATGTTTAATCAAGGGTTCACAAAATATATCTAACTGAAATCTTCCTTTCTCAAAAAATATAATCCCTTCACAAAATAGAAGCAGCAGCTGTCTGTTAGGGGAGCTGCATTTAAAAATATATGAATACTTATGTATTATAAATAAATTGCTAGAGCTGAATATGCCTTCAGATACTAGTCAGACAATTTTCCTATAAATTTACTAACTAATTAGTGCACCACTTAAAATATATCTTTCAAGCAGTCTTAGGCATTTAGGTGAAACTTGCCCCTTGCAAGAAATAAAGAAGCATATATTTCGAATAGCAATTATTGTCATTCTAGTAACTTAGTTCTGATCACTTGATGTTGCAACAGGGATTTCTGGAAACATCTGTAGGAGCCTGGATGATATATGGGGTAAGAGTTTCCATTACTAAAACAAGTCTAGAATATCAAACTTTTTCACCAGGTGTTATTACAAAGCATGGGAATCATGATGCTTGTAAGTGATTCTGCAGCAAATTTTTCAACGCCCTTTTTCAACCAATGCTGCTTTTTTTTCCTTCTGATTCAAAGATTCTAACAGCCTGGCAGACAAATTTCAAAGACACAATCCCGGTAGCTTAAAGAGAAGTGGGTTTATGCAATTTTGGCATCTACTATAACCTAGGGCAGATCCAACATTTTCTCTCTGATGGTGCTACCCACTTAACTTTCGGTCATTAAGAAAGTACACCTGTAACAGGTGTCAGTATTTCCAGGTGAGTGAGGCAACTGCAGGCAAAATAAAATAAGAAAGAAAAAAAAAAATCCACCACCTGATTTGGTTTAAAGCAATCATGCAATCCGCATTATATCCACATCTTTCAAAAACTTCTTTTCCGTGGCAAGCAAAGTGACTGGTAATGTGTGTGGCTTTTGTCACAGTGATGCATTAGGTAAGCATGTGTGTGCGAGTACCAGTGGGTGCTTCAAAATGCATCTCCGTCATCTTCCACTCTTCTTCTCTAAGGTTCTGCCTGTTTAAAAAAAAAAAAAAAAAACAATGCTAGTTATTGCATTACATCAACAAGAAAATTCACCCTTGGCAGGGGTTTTTAAATGTCAGGAACAGAAAGGCTGGAAATCATAACAAATCACCCCCATGTGATTGGTAAGAGCAAATCCTGGCTCTCAGCATCAGAGCCCAGATTTAAATCACAGCCACCCGACCTGCCAAATACAAAAGTGGAAAGAGGGTTGCATGTTTTCAATGACCTATTGGGACTCCTCTCAGAGGTACTGCTCCACTTGTGTATGGCTGGGTGGGAGTTACCTTGCTCAAAGAGCCAGTGGAGATGCTCGTTAACAGCAACCCAAGATAAAGAACCACTCTAGTATGACCATACCTGTTAGTAAAGAGTCGGTGTCCCAATCCCCCAAGTGCCACCCCTACACCCTCTCCCCGAGCCAACGGATAAAGAGCTGACACCTGGCACAGACGTCTTCCGTGGCCTGCTCGAGCTACGGCCAGTCAGCGCCCGGTGTAGACCAGTTGTTACCTACTTTGAATATCACCCCTGAAAGGCAGGGATTTGAAAGTATAATCTTCTACAACAGGCCCTTCTTGGAATCTATTAAATTTTAACTTTGACAGTTTTCTACCTAAAAATTATTGGTGAAAAGGCCTCCCTTTCTCAGAGTTAGTTAGGTATCACAGTGGGCCAGCCACTGTGGGCTCCAGCCAACCAAAGGGGAAAGTGAGATCCCCTCACTGCCCCCACCAGAGTTTCCACACCATCTAACATTTACATCCTTTTAAAAATTCTGTAGAGGACAAAAACTATATCCAGAGGCAATGTAGCCTGCAGGCCATCACCTAGAGACCTCCAACCTACCTTTGGCCTGCCCACTTTGGAAGGCAGCCCAGTCAGAGCCTACACTGCACCTGTGCCCGATGGGCCTGTGAATGTCCTCTCCTACCATGTAAGTGCAATTATAGGTGCTAATGCTGTCTTTATGTTTCCTGATAGGCTTTCTTGCCCTGTTTTTTATGCGTGTATACTAAACAAGTAGGAAAGGAAAAGAGAAAAGAGGGTTTTCATCTTCTAGTACATTAAACCTGTGAACCCTGTGTCAAAGCCTTAGACTGTAGATTGTATAATGAATCACTACCAAGGTGAAAAATAAAAGAAAGGGAGAAAATGCTAAATTGTTCTTGAAGACATTTTCACTTCTCTCATATAATGATGAAGTATAAATGCCTATAAATATGAGTTGCTATTAGCCTTTAAAGCCCTAAATGGTTCATGGAGGGTGGCACAGACCTTGTGCTATGGACATCTGCTCTGGTCCCAGGTGCTTCTGCCCAGGGACAACTGATTCAGGTCCCTGAAAATGGTGGGCTGGATGGAGGCGGTATCCAGGGCCCTCGCCACCTTTGGGATGGCTCCCTGAAATCAGTGGCACCAAGATCAACTTTAATACTACGGCCACAAACCATGTGAGAATGTAAATTTCATAGATCATAAATTTCCTGAGAAACTGTTGAGAAAATACATTTCTTTGAAGAATAAAAAAGTCAGCTCACAGTCTCTAAGGAATTTACATATTTGGGAAAAATGGGAACACACAGTATTTTTTAAAAGGTTTTTGCATAGACAATGACGCCCGCTGGATTTATGCATCCATTAGACTATCCCATCCTAGTTTTTTCCAGGGATAATACTTTTTAATACCTTTAGATGAAACATGTTATAAAAATACTCTAATTTTCCTAACAAGTATTCAAATGTTCCATCTTTATAAAAACAGTTTTAACAACCTTTAAATATGGTATGTGTGGGTTTTGCCTCTGCTTAAAACATGTGCATGGAAACCACCCACAACCATATGTGGACTTAACTGATGTAAAAACAAAGCAGGATTTCACATTGGCTATGCATTGCAGATGCTGGTATATAATTTGTTATTGAGGGTCCCTGCCTTCCTCCTACAGGTATGCCAGAGGTGGTACAAATCCTGGGTAGCCTCAAAAGACCTATTACTTTCAGACATCAAAGTTCTCGGTAATGTACTTTTATTTCAGTTGTGTTAAAAATAGACACACTCAAAACCTCAATTACCATGTATATAAAGATTGCAAGAAAATATACAAAAATGTCAACGTGATTAGCTCTGGGTGGTGATTTTAATTCTCTATTTTACCATTTTTAAATATTTTCCCAATTTAAAAAAATGAGTCTAGGCTACTTCATATTCAGAAAGAAAATGTGTGTACACACATCAAAAATAGTACCTTACTTAATAAATGTTTTTTTCTTATTTTGAAAGTGAATCCACAAGCTTAATAAAGTTGTGATAACACACATCATTTGTAGTTCTAAACATGAGAAAATATTGGCTCCTTTATGTTTTCTAAAAGGCATACGACCTAATAAAGTGGCTTCAAAATATTTTGATTAAGAAACTGAATTTTTTTCTTCAAGCTTGACCATTTATTATTATGGACCATCTCATCTCCAATGAAAGTACATTTAAAAAACCTTTAAATATGACTCTGAGTCTGCTATTTCAAAAAATATAAAGTAAAAAAAATTGCAATTTAAAACCAAAAGTATCTACTACTTTTTACTACCTTAAATTCTTGGAGGAATGGGGTATAAATTAGAAATAAGGTGATATTCTAATTTATAGCAACAATTGAAAAGCTGGGGAAAAAAAAAAAACTAGCCTCTGTTGTGTGTTTTAACACTGAGTAGTCTCTAATTATGCATCAGAGGAAGCAAAATCCCCAAATCTAAGAAACTATATATGCATTCCACTAACACCTTCATCCTCCATGTCTAAGAATAATTTTAAAAAGATGAATTCTAAAACAAGAATAAGAAAAGATTTACCTACCTTTGATGCCAACCGTGGTTTCAGGCCCAAAAATGAAAAGACTGAGTTGCTTTCCTTGGATTCAAAAAAACTGTCATAATCCTAGAAAAAAAGGGAAGGAGAAAATTAAAAAATTATCTTTATATTTGATGCTTTGGACAAATTCTTTACGGAAGTAAAATATGTGCCATCGCTCCATCCAGAACAGGGAAAAGCTAAATAAATCTGCTGAATTAGTCTGCTTGCATGTAAACATTTCTTTTAGTGTGACGAACAATGTAACAAGTTTTTAATCCAAAACCTAAACAAGATTAAAATGTAAGACACTTGACAACAGAAATGAAATAGAAACACACTCCTTTTCCTTTGTGGGTCAGTGTGGAATCACTCTGACCTAAGATTTTACTCTAGGTCTTCAGTATGGAAGGCTGCCTTCCAACTCCACTCTTGATATTTTGCTATCTAGGGCTTTGAAAAAAATCACTGGGTAAACAAAGGTAAAGGTTTCCATGTGTCTATGAACATGTGTCTTATTCTGCTTCTGAAGTTTTCCCACATTCTTAGAAACTATCTCCTAGAGGGAACAAAAAGATCAAATAAAAACTAAAGGAAACTATATTCTTTATAATATTTACCTTTGCTGAGACATAGAATCATTTTTCTCTTCCTACCTTCACAAGAAAGCATCAAGGAATTCTGGGCAATGTGTTTGTTCAACTGTTTCTTTTCAAAAGTTTACATTTATCTTATGTAAAGCAGTCTTAAAATTGGTAATTTGATAGCTTTATTCTAAGGGTAAATAATGTAAGTGAATGATGATCAGAATCATTTTAGGCATTTGCTCTGTGCTAAGTGCCTTACAAACATTATGTCATTTAATCTCCACCACAGCCTGCCAGGGTTGGAGACTGACTCAAAGTAAAGAAATATGTTGTCCAAGTTTGACAGCTCATAAATGGGAGAACTGGTATCTGAGTTCATGTTTCACTGACCTTGAAATTCACACTTTTTGTACTCTAGGATGCATCCTGCCCAAAAGGAAACCAAGTATGGGGCACCACGTGTGCTGGGGTCACTGAGCACTAATGAATCTATTGTTAAGCCAAGCCAATGGCATCACTAGTACTTTAGAAACCTATCTAGAAATCTAAACTTGTAGAGATTTGCTTCTTGCAAAGCATGCCTCGTCTGATTAAAAAATCTTTGAATTATTTGATTGTGTGTACAGACCCTCTTCTCCAAAAGCTTTAGCAACTGAGTCTCGTGGTTTGGAAGGCAGTAGGCTCAGGCTTTGCGTGGGCTGCTCCTTTTGTCATTTAGGATCAGCTCTAAAGAGAGGCCTTCCTTGACCAAGCCGAGAAGGAGCAATTTGCCTGAAAAGAGAGATTTGGCTAAGTCTTCTTTGAAAACTGGCAGTTAAGCTTATATCTGAAGGATGAGTAGAGTTAGCCAAGTGAAGGACTGGGATGAGGGCATTCTGGGCAGGAAACAGCACTAGTGAAGAGCGAAGCTGGCAGGGTGGACAGGGATCAACATATGCTGGGCTGTGTAAACCAAGAAAATCATCTTGAATTTTATCTTAAGTACCAAAAGAAATCATATAAGGGTTTGCAAGGGAGCAAAATTATCTAGTTTCTTTTAGAAAACACCTAAATAACTGTGTGGAGAATGGCTCACAAAAAGGGTGGCAAAAATGATAGCAGGGGAAAAGTTAGTAAAGTCCCTTGGCAATTGCAGTAAGTGATGGTGGCAGCCGGAATGACGGCAGAGGGCAGTAGACAGGCTGCAGATACGTTTAGGGGTAGAACTGATCCTACTTGGTTGTGGATTTGATGGGGAGATTAGAGAGAAGTAAGAATTAAAGTAGCTCTGAGCTTTCTGGCTTGATGAAAAAGACTAGAGAATAAAGAATGTCCAAAGGTTGGAGTTGAAATTCAACATGTAATGTTTGAGAAACTATATGACGCGTTGAATAAAGAAGATGCCAACTAAGCAAATGAAGGTTCCTAATGGCTCTAGGATGTACATATTTCATGGAATTTGTAAAAAAAAACTTGCAATTTCTTATAAGACAAAATACAATCCTAGCTATACCACAAAACAGGTCAAAGTTTGACATGCAATACAGGAAAAATCTCATGAACTGAAAATGTTACATTCTTTGTAATGAAGCTATTTCCAAAGAGTTGAGTAACAATTCTCTCATGGGAGTTAAAGAAATAATTCTTTTCAGAACATACTTTCTCTACCTGACAATTTGTGGACTCTACTGAATGTGGTAAGAGGAGGAAGAGAACTAAATTACAGCTAGCTTTGTTCCATCCTTTAAGATATCCACTATATGGCTGGGCACGGTGGCTCACGCCTGTAATCTCAGCACTCTGGGAGGCCGAGGCAGGTGGATCACGAGGTCAGGAGTTCAAGACCAGACTGGCCAATAAGGTGAAACCCCATCTCTACTAAAAATACAAAAATTAGCCAGGTGTGGTGCCGCTCACCTGTAGTCTCAGGTACTCAGGAAGGTGAGGCAGAAGAATTGCTTGAACCGGGAGGTGGAGGTTGCAGTGAGCCAAGAGCATGCCACTGCACTCCAGCCTGGGTGACAAAGCAAGACTCTATCTCAGAAAAAAAAAAAAGCTATCCACTGTATGAAACTTAGTATACCTGTTCACTCTATACTATATTCAGCCTCTACTCAGTTGAAAGTCTTTCCCTAGGGAAGCTCATTCACAGCCATGGCCCTGATTAAATTCACATCTCTTACCCTGACCTCTCCTCTGAGCTCTGGTTCCACAAAAGCCACTAACTGTTCACAGACTCTTAAACATAACAGGTCTAAAACCACAATTCATGATCTTCTACTCCACAAACTGGATATCTCACAAAATGGCACCACCATTTAACAGCCCCTGTAAATCAGAAATCAATGCATCATAGGACTCCTTTCTTCCCTCAACCACTATTTTATAAATCCCTTAAGCTTCTCAGTTTTTCCACATTGATCTCTACCAACCTGATCCAAGCTAGACTTCTGCAACAGCACCCCAACTTATCAACCTTTGTCTAATCTCACTATTTCTACTCCATCATTCTTTCAAAGTGAGGACAGACTGATTTTAAAAAAGGCAGATTTGATCTCATCCTTTGCTTAAATGCTTTCCTTCGAGACTTCTTACTGCTTGTAAGATACAGAGTAAAATCCTTAATGTAATATGAAAGGCCCTATAGACTAAAGTCCTTAATGTAATGTGAAAGGCCCTATAAACTAAAGTCCTTAATGTAATGTGAAAGGCCCCATAGACTAAAATCCTTAATCTAATGTGAAAGGCCCTACATGGCCTGGCTCTAATTCATCAGGTTTAGGGAGAAGAAGCATCTTTTTTGTTGTTGTTGAGACAAGGTGTCACTCTGTCACTCTGACTGGAGTGCAATGGTGTGTTCATGGCTCACTGTAGCCTTGACCTTCTGGGCTCAAGCAATCCTCCCATCTCAGCCTACCAAATAGCTGGGACCACAGGTACGTGGCACCACACCCAGCTATTTTTTTTTTTTCATTTGCTGTATGAAAAAATTAAAAAATTCATCTATGTAGGTGAAAGAAATTATTGTAGAGATAAACCGTCTACAGAGAAGTTGTTGTAGAGGTAACCCCCTCTACAGAGAGACCACCTCTTTGTAGACAGGAGCTCTCATTATGTTGCCCAGGCTGATCTTGAACTCCGGGGCTAAAGTAATCTTCCTGCCTTGGCCTCCCAAAGTGCTAAGATTACAGTCATGAGCCACCATGCCCAGCCAAGAGGGGTCTTATACTTCTACTTGCACCAACCACTGTCTGGTGCAACCAAAGATTCATTTCTGGGAAACTGAGTGGTGTATATGTTTACTCAACCGTGGATGTAATGTTTGGCAAACCATGAGTTATCTATGACCTTGATCAACCCCTTTAACCTTCTAAGACTTTCTTCTTTTCTGTATCAGAATACTAATGAAATCTCTTGGAACTCTAGAATTCTATAAAATAAAGGAGAATCCAGTAGAGTTGCTCCTAAATGGACTGTTAGCTGTGACTAGGTGTAAAGCCCAGCCTAGGTATTCCTGTTCCTGCAGACATTTATTTGGAAATTGACCTTGTCTTGTTTAATTGAATAGGTAAGGGAAGAAATATTAATGAGAAGAAAAAAACTGAGGGCTAGTAACTTGGTCATCAAAATGCTATCCCTGTTCTTAAGTTTTAAAAGGCTATCATCTGTCTCTATGTGATTAAAAATATCTTATGTGGTCATTTGGGGTGGCTCACACCTGGAATCCCAGGGCTTTGGAAGGCTGAGGTGTGAGGATTGTTTGAGGCCAAGAGTTTGAGACCAGCCTGGGCAACGCATCAAGACCCTCTCTCTACAAAAAATATAAAAATTAGCCAGGGATGGTGGCACATGCCTGCAGCCCCAGCTACTTGGGAGGCTGAGGTGAGAGGACCAGCTGAGCCCCAGAGTTCAAGGCTGCCATGCAGTGAGTGATGATCAATCACACCAGTGCACTCCAGCCTGCGTGACTGACAGAGTGAGGGGGGGCTTGTGTCAAAACAAAAACAAAAACAAATAACTCTAATGTCAGGGTGAAATGCAGGAAAGAAAAGCTAATGAAATGTAAAAAATAAAACATAAGAAACAATGCCTCACTCAATCTCTGTAAAAGTTGTATGAATTCTACTTCCAAAAGATTTAAGTGGTAACATGAAAGTATTGTGCACATAAAAGAGCAAAAGGTATAATGAGACAATGTTTATATTTCAGGTTTCAGTGTTTATAATTAAAAACCTTAATCTTAAAATCTCAATTCTCCAAATCACAAAGTTGGAGATAAGGTAACTTCTCACATGCAAGTGTCATATATATAAAACAGCTCCTATAAAATAGACACATTTTGAGGCTGCAGTGAGCTAGGATTGCATCAATGCACCCCTGTCTGGGTGACAGAGCAAGACCCTGTCTCGAAAAAAAAAAAAGTATATATAATATTTTCTTTATGTAGAGAAAATATGTAACATTATCAATAATCCATTTGTCCATATTAAATTGAAACCATTCTTAAAGTTTCAGTCACCA